CCTTTCAGGAGTCCCTGGATCCTCATTTGAATGAAGGGATGATAGATATGCCCCCTACTCACTTCCCTAAACCTGCTTTCACCTGGTGCCTAGTCCCGACTCGGGCAGGAGGCAACCTAAGTGTCTCCCTGAGTTTAGGGCAAGACTGCTGGTATCGGCTCAGCTCCTGCGTGAGGTCGGATTTTTAAGGTGGAATGCTCAGATTCTTTGTGAAGGCAGTATGTTTGCTGACAGTTTGTTCTCATAGGGGAATGGGCCTCCACGTCAATTTCGCGTGCTCAGAAATAGGTACTGTTAGACAGCAGCCGAGAGACGGAAATGGGGACTTGGTAGTGAGGGGGAGGGACTAAGACCTGAGGAGACCACCTACTCCAGACCAAGTTATTGCTTCTCAGAACTGCCAATCACCTGGAGAAGAGAAGGTAGAGAGAAAGTTTATGCTCCCCGAACTAGGGGTGCCCAGTATACAGGGTAGAAGCAGAGGCCACAGATTCAGAGTTGGACTATACCAGCCTTAGGAGAGATGAAGAGTTATAATAGGGCAGAAGGCAGGACAGAACATTACAAGTCAGGGTACAGGATGACCGGCACCACACTGTCTCATTCATGAAATATTTCTAGGAGTGAGGAATAGCCAAAGAGAGGTCCACTAGAAATAAAAAAAAAAACCAACACGCTCCCCCCCCCAAAAAAAAAACCTCCATCATTTCAATTGCTAAAAAAAAAAAAAAGTCAAACTACACTGTGGTCTTGCAACTTCTAAAGCACTAAAAACTTCTAAATTATAGTTACTAGATAGAATTCCCACCAAGATGCTACTAATTTTCTTTTTCCAGCACATTGTAGGCACCTGAAAAATTCTTCTTGACTTGAAATATAGACTTGAGGGATAGTTGATAGCACCAATTAAATTCAGTTGCCCAAACTGCACCCTAGATTTGTATCCCAGGACAGCTAAAGGTAGGTATCTACGAAGCCAGGATCTCAGGGGCGGCCCTTTGGGGAATCAGGACCAGCTTTGTTTATCTAATGAATCCATCTTCATGGGTTCAGAGGGTCAAAGATTTAGAGCTGAAGAGGACCATAAAAGCCATCTATCCCAATCCCCCCCCCCATTTTATAGAGGACAAAGCTGAGGGCCAGGTAAAGAAAGGGACTTCCAATAACAGGACCATAGATCTATAGCTAGAAAGGATCTCAGAGGCCACCTAGTCTAACCTTCTAATTGTACAGATGTGGAAACTGAGGTCTAAATGGGGTCAAATGATTATCCCAAGGTCACATGGCTAATTTGTGGCAAAGCTGGGGTTTGAAGTGCCAGAATGCCATGTGGTCCCCATCAAAAATAATACCTAAGAAAAGAATGGTGGATCTACTCTCCTAGTAAGAGCAGAAACCCTCACTCTTCCCCAAAGGTGATCATTATTTTTCTTGCCTGGTTAAAAAAAAGAAAATTAAAACCTAGCATCAGAACCCATCTTTAAATTGGTTGGAGTTTAATGCTTCCAAAGCATTTGCTAGTCCTTTTCTTACTGTGCTCCACACAATGTGGGGTGGGAAGCATGAGTAACGGTTTGCCCATCTCTCACAGAGAAGGAAAAGGACACCCCTAAAAGACAAATAACTTGCCCAAGGTCACTTGAATAGCAAATGTCAGAAGCAGGCCTTTTGATTCTAGAAAATTGACAAAGCCAATTCCACTTCACCAGCCTGGGTCTTGTTCAAAGTGTCCTGAGAAATTAATAAAAATAAAACTGTAAACCTACACACATGCATATGCAAATGAATAGAAATAATATTCAATGTGATGTCCAGGGTTTGGAATATGCCTCTCCTGTCTATGACAAGGCCATGTGCCAAGCACATATTTAAATATTAATTTCATTGAATACTGGAAAAAGCAATTTTTGGAGTAGATTATGCTAGCCAAAAAAAAATATGGATGGTAAAAAATTACATTGTTATACTAAATACTAATTTTAGTATGTTGATTATTGGCACAAATTGAACCCTGCTAATCAAGCCTTAGAACTAATTGGAAGGGTGTGGGGATCAGAAGATCCTCAATCCAGAGATAGAAAGGGACCTCAAAGGACACCTAGTCCAATCTCCCTCATTTTATAGAGGAGGAAAATAAGGCTGAGAGAGAGAAAATGACTTTGGATCAGGGAATCCTAGATCTAATGATGGAAGAAGGGACCATCAGAGGCCATCTGGACCAAGCCCTTCATTTTACAGAGAAGGAAACTGAGGCCCAGTGAGGGGAAGTGATTTGCCTAGTATTACAAAAGGATTCTGGATCTCAAGCTAAACAGGACCTCAGAGGCCAACCAGTCTACCATCCTCATTTAGCAGATGAGGAAACTGAGGCCCAGGGAGGGGAAGTGACCTGCTCAAGACCACATAGGTAGGAAGTAGCAGAGGTGAAAGATCCATAGCTTGGACTTCACAGAGTCCACTAGCATAGAAAAAGCAACAACAGTAGCAAAAATTGGCTTTTATCTGATGGCTTATAGCTTGAAAAGCACTGGATAAAAATGACTTCAGTTGATTCTCACAACACCTCTGTGAGCTAAGTGCAACAAGTATTATTGCCCTCATTTAAAAGATAAGAAAACTGAGGCTCACAGGAGTGATGAGACCTGACCAGGTCACATGTAAGTACATGTCTAAGGCAGAATTTGAACTCAAATCAAGTGTTCTGTCCCACTTCAGCAGCTGGAACTAAAGCCATAGGAACTGATCTTTTTTTTTTTTAAATATTAACACTAAGTACTCAGTTGAGAAAAGTGAGGCCCCAGAAGACAACCTCCCCAGAATCCCACAGGTATTAAGTGACCAAATCAATTCTCCAGGAAGGGTCTTCAGGCTCAAAATTCAGGGCTTTCCTCACCTCCCAGCCATAAGAGTGAGATGGTCTTGGTCTAGGAAGAAGAAATGGGTACTATCCCTGACTAGCAGTGAGATCTCAGGCAAATCACTTAAACTTTCTTTAGCTTACGTGTCCTTACTATAGTTCATGAATAGATTTCCGGGTGTTTCTGACCTTGGATGGGAAAAGAGAAAAAAAAAATGACATCTTTATTTCAATGTAATTGGTTGTCTTTGTAATCCTTTGTATTTCATTTTTGCCTTGAAAAACATCATTCTGGAGGAAGAAAAAAAATTTGAAACTCAAAATCTTATAAAAAAAATGAATGTTGAGGGACAGCTAGGTGGCAGAAGGACCTGAGTTCAAGTCCAGCCTAAGACACTTGATACTTACTAGCTGTGTGACCCTGGGCAAGTCACTTGGCCCCATTGCCTAGACCAAAAAAATTTTTAAAATGTTGAAAACTATCTTTCCATGTGATTGGAAAAAATAAAATAGTATTTACCAAAAAAGAAAGAAAAAAACATGATTCCAACAAGAGATCCACAGGCTTCCTGAGACAGACTGCCAAAGGGGTGCAGCACACACAAAAAAGTTAGGCAGCCCTTCTTTAGATCAGCCTAGGGCCTCATGCATACAATGACCAAAAAATGTCACTCTGTAAACTCCACTAAGACAAATGCAAATAAAAATGAAATACATGTGAAAGCCAATGAAAAAGCCCAAATTCTACACAAACATATGATAATGGTTTAGTGTTTAACTTAAATGAAATCAGTTACAACCTCATAGCTCTTTATTATTAATCCCTTGCTACTATCTATGATTAAGTGATTATTTAGAACAAATAAACACTCAGACACACAGACCAAAAAAAAAGACTTACTTGCCTGGGATATATGAATTTGGTGTAAGTAGCAAAAGATGCTTAATCTCATTCATGTTAGTGTTTGAGTATTGCTTGTGACAGAAAGAGACAGCTAGGTGGTATAGTAGTTAGAGCACTAGGACTGGAATTAAAAAGATCTGAATTCAAATCCAGCCACAGACACTTACTAGCTGTGTGACCTTGGATAGGTCACTTAACCGCTATCTGCCTCAGTTTCCCCATCTATAAAAGAGGAATAATAACAGCACCTACCTCACAGGGTTGTTTTAAGGACAAAATGAGAGAATATTTGTAAAGTGCTTATCATAGTGCCCGGGACAGAGTAGGCACTTAACAAATGCTTACTTATTTCCTTCCTTTCTTATTTATGAGGCTGTTCAGCGTCCAAGGGATGGTATAATTGAAAATACAGGGGTCCGGGAATTCATTGCATTCTAGTCTCAGCTCCAGTACCAATCTGACTTGTCACCTTGGACATGTCACTTCCTTCCTATTCCTATGGATGAGATAGAGAGTGTAGGGCAGATGATAACATAATTAGGTAGATTTCAAAGTGGTTGAAGAACAGTCAGTCATTAATCATTTGATATCAGCTCATAAGAAGGTCTCCAGCGAAGTGCCCAAGGGATTTGTGCTCAGACCAACTTAATAGTTTTAGCAATGAATAGGATGAGAAATGAATGCAAGAAATAATGACAAAACTCCCTAGATTGAAGGAGAGCAAGTTTCAGCCACCGAAGGAGGAGGAATAGGTAGGATTTCATGGACTAAAAAGGGAAAAGTTGGCCCAGGACAGGTTGGGAAGCCCTCCAAAATGGAATTCTGAAGTCATAAAGGGAACCAATTGCTATGAGATGGAAAAGAGAGACTTGCCTAAAGACACCAATGAGGATGCATGGAGTACCCACTATCTCAAGGAAAGAGATCATAGTGGATTGCTGGAAGACCATGACTCAGCCACAGCATTAATGAGGAGAGCCCAAATGTATTCTGAGACAACCTTCCCATTATGCCAAACCTGAATGTTCTTCTGAAGCTTCATTCCCCCACAGCTTTGCAATGGGATTGAATAGGGTGGAGCTGTCCAAGTACCATTTCCACCATCTCCTCACTCTGCTTTCTCTCCCTACTAGCTCTCCTAACTGCCTGGTGTAAGACAATTCCCATTGTCCTTCCTTGGACACAAAGTATAACACAAACACAAAACAGACAACTGCTGGAAAATGCATGTATACTTACTGCAATTCTTTGGAGACTTATTTTGACAGATGCCCAGGTATCCAATCTTCTATCCAGAATAAGGATAAATTTGGTGTCTGGTTCATGTTGTCTAAAAGGAAAAAAAAAATAGGGGGAGGGGGACAGAGAAATAAAATCTTAGGAACCGTCCAGATGTTAAGTATGTTTCAGGTCTGGTCATTTTGTTTGTCTATAGATAAATTGCAATCAAAAGGATCCGGATTCAAGTGAAGTTGTATCAGATTGGAAAGAACATGTGGTCCTTTTCTGAAAAGTGGTACCTGGGAGATGCTGTTTGGAATGTGTAGGCTGCAGGGACATAGTAGAAAGAGAATTGGTTTGGGAATCAGGAGACCTACATCCTAGGACTTGCTATGTGACTTTGGACTCTCTCTCTCTCTCTCTCTCTCTCTCTCTCTCTTCTCTCTCTCTCTCTCTCTCTCTCTCTCTCTCTCTCTCTCTCTCTCTCTCTCTCTCTCTCTCTCTCTCTCTCTCTCTCTCTCTCTCTCTCTCTCTCTCTCTCTCTCTCTCTCTCTCTCTGCCACAGTGACTCCTCCAAGCCTAGATATTCCATCTTCTAAGGTACCTTTCAATCCTGGAATTCCACATTTTAATGCCCCTTTTCATGCATGAATTACATGTTCTAAGATCCCTTTCAGTCATGGAACTCTATTTTCTATGGCCCCTTCCAACCTTAGCATTCTATGGCCTTGGTTCTGATATTCTGTGAACCAAGGGAGCTGCCAACTCAGATACTTGATATTCTCTAGGAAGGATAAGATGAAGGGATGCAGAGGGAATAAGAGAGGTGATGCAAAAACAAAAGATACCAATAAAAATTATTTTTAAAAATAACAAAATGGTGGGGCAGCTAGGTAGCGCAGTGGATAGAGCACTGGCCCTGGAGTCAGGAGGACCTGAGTTCAAATCCGGCCTCGGACCAAACACTTGACACTTACTAGCTGTGTGACCCTGGGCAAGTCACTTAATCCCAATTGCCTAAAAATTAAAAAAAAATAACAAAATGATAAAACCACAAAGCCAGCAGGTTGGTCTGTATCTTAGACTCCCCAAGTGGGAAGGGACCTCAGAAGCCCTTTCATCCCACCTTTGCCTGAACCAGAAGCCTCTCCCATGACTTCATTTCAATCTCTATGCCTTTTAGAATATTGTGGTACATCAAATCCATCTAAATATGACAGATACAGATTAAAAAGAAGGATTAATCACAATTCAGTTTGGAGCATTTTATTTCTGCAGGACTCACATAATTAATTATTCCTCTCAGCCAAATTACCTTTTTTGGCTGTCACAATATGCTTTCCATTAATACCCTGGGCTTTTTGTGAGCTTACCACATTCCAGGACACCCATTCAAAGGCTACTTTAGGTTTGGGTTTGTTTTTGTGTTTTTTTTTAATTTCAGATATCGACTTTCTCAATTCTTGGGTATTTAACATGGGAGTTTGGCAAAGGCAAATCTCGCCCTGCCTGATTCCTTTCTAGTCCTCACTTGTATTCCCAATTTCAGGCAATGATATCGAAGCTAGTCTGCCCTTGATCTATGTAAGCCCAAGGAGGGAATGCCTCTAAATGCTTCCTCAAGAGCCTGCTGACCCTCTTCACTTTAGCCAATGGGAAACAGGTCTGGGCTACACCAAATTTAGACATTTCCCCACAAGGACCAGAGGAGGAAAAAAAAAATGTAAGCAAATGTTTTGTAACATCTCATTTCCTCATCTTGTAGACGTGTATCTGTATTTCAGCAAAACGTTGGGTAACCAGGTATTGACCTTGGCCTTGACTAATTCAAGCTCCTCCTAAGTCTTTTTCACATAATCCAAAAAAGAGCTTTACTGTCATCTGTCACATCTCACCATTATCATTTAGGGGAAACATAACCTTCGAAAACAAAATAATTTTATAGGAACTAATTATGTGACCTTACACAAATCACTTTCCCTCTTTGGGCCTCAGTTCACTTATCTGGTAAAGGGGAAGTTTGGACTGGGCAGTCTCTGAGGTACTTTCTAGCTCTGACATTCTAGAATTTGAAATTTCTTAGTTTTAGGTTTATGCTGAGCAAATCTTGAAAACACCTAAAAGAAATACAGAGCTCCTTAGTCTTTTAATTTAACCATTTGTACTTTATTTAACCTCTATCTCCATGATGACTAAAACACGAATGTCCACAGCTTTCTCTTAACACTACTCTCCTCTACGGACTCAATACTCCAGCCAAACTGGAATATTGTTTGCCCCTGCAAACACATCTGGCATTTTCCCACTTCTGCATTCTGATCATATTGATCTCTATGCTAGGTGTTCTCTCTTCCCTTTGTCTAGTGAGCACCTACCTATCCCTGAAAGCCTAACTCAGATGCTCCCCATTACACAAAGCCTTCCTCCAACCCACTCCAGAGCCAAGAGCCACCTTGCCTCTCTCACCTCTCAACTGCATGTGATTGTATATTACTGGTGTCTGGGTCTATCTTAGCAATCGGTTCAGTGCCTTCTGGGTGGTGAGTTCTGTTCTGGGCACTGGGAATATAAATATAAGGAATGAAATAATCCCTGCTGTCAAAAAGCTTCACTTCAAATAAAGGAGCCATTAAGGACATATATAACTATTTACAGAATAAATATAAATAGAATAAATGCAAATATATTCCAAGCAGATAAAGATAAGGTAGTTTGAGAAGGAGGGCACTAGCAGCTGGGGGGATCAGTACAGAAGGTACTGCTTGAGCTTCATCTTTAAGCTATTGCTTCTGTGAAGGATTATGTTAAGATAATGAGGGAGTAGGGTACGTTCCAAGCACAAGGAATGGCCAGCGCAAAGGCACAGTGATGGAAAGTGGAAGATCTCTCAAATAGAGAGAAGGCAGAATCACAGAGGGCAGGAGGGCAGATAATATGTGACGAGGTGAGGAAGACAGGGTTCGGCCATGTCATGAAGGATTTTAAAAGCCAAACAGAGCAGGTTATATATGATTGTAGATGCAATGAGGAGCCATTGACATTTACCGTGCAGAGAGGGGAGTGACATGATCAGATCTGTACTTAAGGTGGATGAAGAATAGACTGCAACAAGGAGAGACTTGAGGTTGGGAGACCAATTAGGAAGCTATCGCACAATCTAGGCAAGACGTGATAAAGGTTTGGATAGAAGGCGGTGGCTGTGTGAGTAGAGGGAAGGGGTCAGATGTAAGAGATGTTGTGGAAGCAAAAATTACAAGATTTGGCAACTGACTGATTATGTGGGGTGAGAGAAAAAGTAGAGGATGATGCCAAGGTTACAGACCGGAGATGCTGGAAGAATGGCAGTGCTTCCAACAGAAATAAACAGGTTTGAGACAAAGGTGGGTTTAGAGAGTTCTGTCTTAGACAAGTTGAGCTTGAGATGTCTATAGGTCATCCAGTCTGCAAGGTGATGGGGATACTGAAGTTCAATGGAGAGATGATTTGTGAGTTATCTGCATTGAAATGATGGTCAAACCCATGGAAGCGGATGAGGTCACTGAGAGAAAATATAGAGAACAGAAGAGGGCCTAGGAAATAGTCTTGGGAACATCCAAAGTAAGAGGCGTGCTATGGATGAGGAGCCTTAAAGGGAAACTAAGAAAGAACACTGGCACAAGTAGAACCAGAGAGAAGAGTGTGAGGGCAGCCAGTAACTGTGTCTGATTTTGAAAAGAGGTTAAGAAAGATGAGGACTGAAAAAGGGCCATCAGATTTCACGATTGAAGGGTTATGGATAACTTTGCAGAGGGCAACACAGTTGAGTGATGAGATCAGGAGCTAGATTCCAAAGGGCTGAGGAATACATAAGGGTGAGGAAGTAGAGGAAGCAAGAATAGACAACTTTTTTCAAGGAGTTTTGCTTAAAAAAAAAGGGAGGAGAGATATAAGACAATCATCTGAGGGCATTATAAGGTATAGTTTTTTTTCAGAATGGGGGAGACTTGGGAATATTTGAAGGCAGTAGGGAAGACAGGAGGAGATAGCAAGAAGTTTAAGATTCAGGAAAGGTGGGGAGGGGATTATTAGGGAAGCAATGTGATGGAGATTATGGAAGGGCATGGCATCAAGAGGATATAGGAGATTGGTCTTGGCAAGGAGAAGGGCCATCTCATTGTCAGAGATTGGGGCAAAGGAAGAGAGAGCAGGGAACATTGTCAGGGGTTTTGAGATGAAGAGAGGGGGAGATGAGGGCACTTATCCTGAATGGCTTCATTTTTCTCAGTAAAATAAGAGTCAAGGTCCTCATTAGGAGAAAGAGTGAGGAGAGGGAGGCATAGGAGGCTTGAAGAGGGAACAGAACATTTGGAATAGCTTCTGTGAGGAGAATAGAGAGAAGAAATTAGAGAAGAACTGAAGGAATGTCTTGTTTCAATGAGAGCCCAGTTGAGGATGGATCCTCTACCCCTTACCATTAGACCAGAAGTTCCATATAAACAGAGGCAATCGCCTATCGAAACTTTATTTCTCATCTAACATTGCATTCTGCACACAGTATGCATGGAAATGTCTGTTGAATAAATGAGGGCAGAGATAGGGTCACAATGGGTTTGGGAGCCCACATTCCATCCAGCCGAGGATTTGATTTCTGGCAGTAACCAAAGGGATGGTCTATGGGAAGACATGGCAATTGCTCTCTAGTGTTCTTCTCTCATAAGGGTTGGGTCATTTCAATGACTACAATGATGTAAAGGAAAACAACCCTAAAAGACATCAGAACTCAGCTTCAGTGATCAATCTGGACTTCTGAGAACTGATGACAAAAACATTAGCTCCCTCCACTAAGTAGAAAGATGGTGAACAATGGGTGCAAAAAGAGGCCCTACTTTATGCTGATTTGTTCTTGCTTAACTCTTTGTCCGTGATACAAAGGAGGATTCTCTTGAGCAGGGGAAGTGGTAGAGGAAGCAACAACAATATTTAAAAGTATCAATAAAATAATTTTAAAGTTAGGATTGTTGCCCGTGTTACCTTAATTTCCCTTACTGATTCATTAAGGAGTTATCATCCACAAACTTTTTTTCTAGCTCAAGTCTAACCATAATCAGTGGGGGGTAATGATTCCTTCCCTCATGTATAAAATAGGACTTTTTTTGGTCCTACAAATAGCCCTTTTCCAGCCTCCAGGGATACTCCCTCATTTTAGGAATCCATAAGGTTGAATCCATTTCATGTCCGTGCTCTCCTTAATATTTTCAGGATTTTCTAGGTGTAGATCCCACACTTACTCAGCTTCCATTGTTCCCACCTGAAAAGAGTCCTATTCTATCTTCCTAAAGAAGCCTCTCTGTGGCCTTCATCACTGGAACATTCCTTCTCCAATTTCATCATTCAGAGATCTTCAATTCAGTCTAAGAAACATTCGTGAAGCCCCCAATGTGGACAAAGCACTGCACTAATAGGGTCCTTGCCCTTCAGAAGAGGAGATAAGACACGTCACAAATAACTATAATTCAGAGTCCAAGGCTTGAACTTTAGATGGCAAGAATAATAAATTAAATGCTAGAATGGGCACAGACTAGACATTATCATAAGGCGCTATATGAATTCAAGGTTTTCCATTATCTGTTTTAACCTGCTGAACTCAAGGTCTGGATTCATGATTTCATCAGTGCAGAGAACTCTCCAAATATGAACTCCTTCCCACTGATACACATTAACAACTTATCTGTACCTTAAGGTCTTAGAGAATGGCTTAGGGGACATACAAAGGTAAAATTATGGGCCCAGCATCACACAGCTCATTGTTGTCAGAGACAAGATTCCACATTATGACTCCCAGGCTGGCCCTCTATCCAGACTGATTCAATTTTTCTAATATTACATTAAAGTAATTATTTTCTCCCACACACTGGGATCAACAGTAATGAAGTAGCATACCTGGGAAGGGAAGTCAAGTAAGTTAACACTTTTGTTAAGACATCCTCTGGCACTTCTTTGAAATTGGGGTTTTCTGGAAATGTTATAATCCAGTCATTATCTTTCCCTCTTCCACCTAAAAAAAAAATACAAGTTAAATATAATTAAGAAGAAAAGAAACAATGACATCCCAAGGAGGGTGTCAGGGCAGATGGGACTGAGACGAAATAAAAGGGCCCTACTTGACCTAAGATGGCTGCTGAAAAAAGCAAGGGGTGGAATAGAATGAAAAATTAATAGAAAGCCACAATGTGATAAAAGAGCATTTCATGACATGCTTATAGTCAAATGACAGCCACAGATGCATCAAACTGGTAGCAAAGCAGTAGTATTATAAATGGCTGGAGAGCAAAACCCTAATAGTGAAATACTTCCATATCAATAACTTTGGCCTAAAGAGCAGAAAAGGGGGTGAATGAGCAAGGAAAGTAAGCTGATCAGTGGAGAAGGTGGGAAGGGAATGTTGTATGGGAGGTCCCAATGAAAAAATAATGGAATTTTTTTTCCTTTCTTTGTTTAAGGCCTAAAGCAATGCTGCGGGTGGCATTTCCCTAGCTGATGCAGGAAGATTTGGGAGGGAGAAAAAATGCTTGATAACAACTGAAGTAAATAAAATCTTACATAAAAATAAAATAGGAAGAGAGAAGGTACAGAGGCAGATTAACATCAAATGAGATTGACACTGTTTTGACAGTTGCCCAAGAAACCCCCAAGTAGATGAGGCATGAATCCATTTGGGCAGGGGGAGGCAGAATAAAAGCACTTTGCCAAGAAGAAATTGGTGCTCTTTTGAACTGGTGGGATCCTCTAAAATTCTGTCATTCTGAGTTTCCTGTTTTTCTATCCAGTGTTCCTCTGGAGATAGGGAGTTTCATGACATTGGAGGTCTTCAAGCAAAAGGTAGATGACTGCTTGTCAGGTACATGATAGTGGGGATGCCTTTCATTTATGGGTTTGATTCAGGGATCACTTAGGCCTCTTCCAAGTCTTGAAATCTGTGATTCAGGCAGCCTGGGAAAATGTGATCATGACATCAAAAGGGTGATAACAACACTGTCAGGAGCACAGGTCACCCGGCCACCTTCTCTTTGTTACTTATAAGGAGAAAGTAATCAAACTCTAATTGAATAAATTTAAATAATAAAACACTCAGATTAAAATGGTTTTAAATTGTTTTTAAGTTCCCTGTTTGAGTAATAAAAATGTTGGGAGGATGGGTAGAGCTAGAAGCCACCCATCCAGGAGAAAGTGACTGAAATGGACTTTCTTAAATGCAATATGGGAAGCAGCAGATGAAGCCAAGCAGCGACAATGGTAGATTTTAATTATCCCAAGTGAGGCTGACAGAATGCTTGATCAGGGTGAGATGATAGGGAAGACAAGTGATTACTTCCCTAAATGAATACTTTTCAGCCTCGTGGGAAGGGGAAATACATAGGACATGGTTCAGAGCATGAGACTGGAACTGGAGCCTGAGAGGATTGTGGGTGGCTAATCACAGGTGCAATAATTAACACAGCATTCAGAAGGTGCGCATCTTGAAAGAAGGAGGGCAAGCCTGGATGGCCAACCCAGAATTATACCTTTTTTGAAAGGGTAGGATAAAATGTGAGCAGGGGGGAAGTTGAAGGAAGTGTTATAAAAGCAAATAATCCACACAAACCCTAGCAACAACTGCCTGGAAGCCCAGGATAAATCAACGTATGCCAGGATCTCTAAAGAGAGGGCTAGGGACTGAGCCTGTGATTTCATTGTTATAGGGAAATTCCAAATGAGGAAGTTCTCTCTACCAATGCAGGTCCATACCTTCTTTGCAATTTATAATCTTCGGAGAGTTACCTAGAGCACAGAGAAGCTAAGAGATTTCTCCAGGGCTACCCTCCTAGAAAGTATGTATTCAAGGTGGGACTTGAATCCACGTCTTCCAGGCTTTGAGGGAGGTTCTCTATCCACTAGGCTATGCTGCCTCTTGTTATAAAGGTAGCAAGACAAAAAAATCCTGCATGGCATCTACCACAGGGATAGGCAAAGTTGAAATCATGATGGGGCATCATGGCACAGAGGAAAGGACTGGGTTTGAATGCCAGCTTTGTTATTCACTAGCTAAGTGACCCTGGACAAATCGCTTCCCCTTTTCAGGCTTCAGTTTCATCTTCTATAAAATGAGGGGAGGGACCAGGTAACCTCTGCAATCCCTTCAAGCACCCAGTCTATGATCCCAAGGCTAGCAAGATGGTGTGACAAAAGAGAGGCCTTAGGTTGCAAGTAGAAATTCAGAGAAGAAAACATCCATTTGAGGAGGCTCTGAGCCCAGAATTAATAAAAAGAGATGCTTTGTAAAGATCAAGGGGAGGAAAAGGGTTATTGAATCATTAGAGCCACTTGATAACCATGGTGATGAAGAAGAGATGGAGGAGGAGGGAGGGAGAGGGACTGAACAAACTCTGCCTTGGTCTTGATCCAGCAAGATGCCAAGGGCACGTCCCACTCCTAGATTGTCTCTTGAAGTAGACAGGCTAAATACAAGCCCGCAAGCAGCAGTAAATGCCAATGACGTCCTAGGCCTAATTGACAGGCGAGATGTAGATAAATCGCCCCACCTGGGACTAAATCGCCAAAGACTTTGGAAGGAATTCTAGCAGAAATGAGAAGCTTGGAGCCAAGATGCACAGCCTGTCTCTGCATAGGGCTACCACACCATGGGGGTGGCTGACTGCCCAGAGATGCCCATTTATAAGAAGGGCTACAGAAGGGAACTTACTCCCATAGTAACTGAGCTGGTGGTGGCCATAATAAAGGACAGAGTCACTCTACAGCAAAGACGACTCATTAGGGGAAAGACTGCCTAGTTTCTCAAAGAGAAGATGGTGCCTGACTAATCAAGTAGAGTTTGTGGAGAGAGCCAATATGCACGTGAACAAGGGGAAAGCAGTAGAGGAAATCCCAAAAGCCTACCTTGAAGGTAGGCTTGAAACCTTGAAGGTTTCATATTGATGGAGTTGATATGGGATGAGAGAGGGGTGAATGAGTCGCTACGGGATGGGGGAGACCGAGCGCATGGAGGAGGTCACTGTTTTTTTCCCAGGGACAAAAAAAAAATGAAAAACACAACAAAGGCTGGAGATAAAAAGGCACTCTTCTAGTGGGTGAAGTTGTAAACAGTAAGGCTCCCTGGGGACCAGTGCTGGGACAGATCTGATTAAATATTTTTATAAGTTGCTCTGTTCGATTGGGAAATGCCATGGTGATGGACATCATCGCCAAGATGGGCTCAGGAGACAGTGAAAAGGCATCTGGGTGACAGATGAGGCTTAATGTGGGCAAGTATATTCATTTTGGGGGAAAATCTCCAGAGTTCTACAACCAGCCAGCTGATTGCCTTCTCAGACTAAATAGGAACACATATTTAGAACAAGACTTAACGTTTGTTGCATCCTAGACCCCTTTGGCAGTCTAGTGAAACCCATGGACCCTTTCTCAGAATAATGTGTGTATGTATATATACATATTATTTATATAAAATATATATTCACACATATATTATATATGTATATATATTAATTATTTATATATACATATATTGTGTCATATGAATGAATGAGATGTGATTGCATTCACATTCTTCAGCTAAGGTCAAAGATGTCATGAACACTGTGTAGCAAAGTACTACGTTCACATGTAGTCATTTTAGGTTCACTGAATTGTTCTTGTTTGCTTATTTGTTTGTTTTCAATGTGTAACATTGTCCCAGGTGCTTTGGAAAACATGCAAACCGAAAGATTAGGCAGCAAAGGTATGAGGAAGTGTACTCACCAGAAAGGAAGGCCAGTTCCTTCAGCAAGAGATCAGTGATGTCCTTTGCACAGATGGGAACTGTCATCTCTAACACAAGAAACAAAATGCACTTATTGAAACACCAAGAGTAGCACACTTGATAATACACTGTGACATAACCCACATCTGACTCAGTCTCCAGTGGAGCGGGCACTGAACTGGTCATCAGGAGAGGAGGCACGCTGAACTGTCTGGCCTCAGACACTTCTTAGCTGTGTGACCCTGGGCAAGTAACATAATTTCTGTGTTCCTCAGTTTCCTCCTCTGTAAAGTGTGGGTGTCAGATTCAGTGGAACCCCTTTCCTTCTCTGAGCTGCCATTTCCTCCTATGGCAAACGAGGACAGAAACTCTTAGGGTCCCTAGCTCTCAGGGTGACCAGGAGAAAAGCACTTTAAAACCACAGAGAAATGAAAGTCAAAATTATACAAGTAGCTTAGAATGAGGACTCTCTCTTCTTCTGTTCAAACCTAGAATTCCTGGTAAAACTCATCAACACTCTCACACTTCCATAGCGTACTCTAAGGACTATAGCAAAGAGGTCCTCCAGGCACCAGAAAGTGGACTTCTAGCAATGCCAGAAGAGTCAGGTCTTCTCCAAATTCTTGCACCAAACCCAAAACGACACCCAAATCCCTCCTCATCCCAGAAAAAATAAGAAGCAGCAAGAAGAGAACCCAGTTATCAATCACAAATATTTATTTACTCCCTCCCATGTGCCCAGTATTGTGCTAGATGCTAGAAATACAAAGACAAAGAGCAAAGCAATCCCTATTCTCAAGCTAGCATTTGTTCAGGGGAGAAAACATGTGCATGTGCATAGCTCTAGAGATAAATAGATGCTGGGAAGTTAAAAACAACACAGCTGGAGAGGGAGGACACTAGTAGATAGGAGGGGATCAGGAAAGGCTTCACATAGAAGGTGATACATTTTAAAGGAAAAGAAAGATTCTGCGAGGCAGAGGAGGTGAAGAGTGAGTGCATTCCAGGCATGGGAAATGATGAGGGCAAAGATACTGAGAGGGGAGGATTGCCACGTGGGAACAACAGAGAGAGAAGCCCAGCTCAGCTAGATAACAGAGTACAGGAAGGAAAGGAATGTATAATGAGACTAGAAAGATAGATCGAGGCCACATTGTGACTGAGATTTAAAACACGAAGGGAAGACTATCTTTGATCTTAGAGGCAAGGAAGAACCACTGGGCTTCAGTGAGTAGGAGAGGGACATGGGCAGATCTGCACTGATAAAAATCACTTTGGCAACAATGTATAGGATAGACTGGAGTAGGGAGAGACTTGAGGCAGGAGCAGCAGTTAGGAGGCTGTTGCCACAGACCACGTGAGAGATGACAAGGGCCTGAACTAACATAGCAGCAATGTGAATGGAGAAAAAAAGTCCAACTGGTAGGAACAGCAATACATCTTCAGCAAGTGATTAAATATGAATTGATAAGAAGGTGAGGAGTCAAAAAACAACATCGAAGAACCTGGGTGACTGGGAGGATAGTCGAGCCCTCAAGGGAAATGGGGAAGTTCAGTAGAGGAGGGGGTTTGAAAAAAAAGATGAGTTCTGTTTTGGACATGCTGTGCTTTCACTGTCTCTGTGACTTCCCATTTAAAATGTCCAAAAGGCAGTTGGTAAGACAGAATTGAAGCTCTAGGGAGAGATCAGAGCTGGCCAGATAGGTCTAGGAGTTCTCTGCAGAGAGAAGATAATTAAACCCATTGGATATTCCCAAGTGAAAGTCTGGTGAGAGATGAGAAAAAGGCCCAGGACAGAGTTGTAGGGAACAACCCACAGTTGGGGGGACTGATCAGTTGAATGAACTAGACATGTTTAGACTGGAGAAGAAAGGACTCAAGCGGATCATGAGAACTGTCTACAAGTATGCAAGTATGTCTGCAAGCTTGTCACGTGGACAGGGGATTGGATTTGTTCCGTCTGGTCCCAAGAGGCAGAAGAAGTAGGAGTAAAGGGCAGAAGCTTCCAAGAGGCAAACAGTCTGATTGTCCAGAAAAGATATGATAATGTTCAGAGCTGTCCCCAAAACGGAAGGAGCTACTACAAGAGGTGGTGGATTCACCCTTACTGGGTGTCTTCAAGCAAAGTCCGGATGGCCATTTGTAAGAAATGTTATAGTGGGGGCAGCTAGGTGGCGCAGTGCATACAGCACTGGCCCTGAAGTCAGGAGGACCTGAGTTCAAATCTGAACTCAGACCAAACACCTGACACTAGCTGTGTGACCCTGGGCAAGTAACTTAACCACAATTGCCTTTAAAAAAAAAAAAACCTGAGGACTTCCTGGCCTTATCCTCAGCCAGGGAAGGTAGAGACTTTGACCCCAAGTACCAACCTCCTCATATCAGCCCCACAACCTTTGATCTCGCAGCCCAGCCCCACTACTGCCTCTACTGGAGAAGGCAGATACCCATAGAAACCTAACTTCTGAGACCAGTGCCATAACTAAGGCATGGCAACACGAGTTCAGTCCAAGATGTCAAAATTCAAAGGATGATGGCAAAACTTGTACTCTTTCAGTAAGTAGAACTAGTACCCTAGTTTTAGTTAAGACAGATGATAAGCTTCCACTCCTAGGTGGCTATGCTCCTTCACAGCTCAGCCTGTCCCTGCTCCGTCCCCCTATAAAGGCCTCCCCAGTAACATTCTTAGTCCTTGGGTCTCTATTTCAGGGTCTTTCCCTGCTCAAGACTTTTCCTACTATTTTAAACTCAGTATACATTGTGGTACTTGCCCCAAGCTCCAGTGATAGTAGTTATATTACTATGTCCTGCCCTACCCTTCTCATCCACCAGAAAATGCCCTCTTTTCTGTGTTCCTTCCCCTGCCTCCCACACACACACAAAAAAATCCAAGGGAACTCAGAACCTGCTCCCATCCACTGATAAAATACTAGGCACACACACTTAAAGCCAGTTCTTTTTAACTCAAACATCTGGGTATAATCACCCTTTCTATGCTATATAGTTTCTCTGATACTAAGACTGCCAATCACCAAGTTTTAAAACTCTATTAAGAGGCCTTAACTTAATTTAATTTTTCAATGATCTGCACACAAGCACTCCAAATCCACCACCTGCTTTAATCCATGGGCGTATCTACCCACGAGCTGGCAGTCCTTTGTTATACATGGCAGATTTGTAATTATCAAGACAGTATGGAGAGGTTAGTCCTACCTGCATCCTGAAGGCTCTTGAAACTAAGTTACTGAATAACTCAATGAGCCATGTGCCATGCCCCTCTGAAAGTCAAAAAGAAAGTCATGACAAAGAGACTTACCAATAGATAGATAATAGTGCTGGGGTATATGAGAGGCAGTAAGGGGTGTTGGAAAGAACACTGGCTCTTGTATCGATACACCTAGATTCTAAGATCATCTCTGCCACTCACGTTCTGTGTAACCTCAAGCAGGTCAACTTCACCTCTGACTTATTTTTACTCATCTGTAAAATGGGTACTTACATTATCAAGCACACGAGGTAATTAGGAGGCCCAAAGCCTGATAGGATCACATTCTAGGTACTATGTCAAGTTGCCTCTAAAAGTCTTAGAAGTAAGTGGAACACATATATGCTAGTCTCAGGTGTCTGATATACCTCACTGATGAGACAGTGCGGGGAATGTGAGCAAGCAGAGGAAATGAAGTATGCATTCATATTGGGAATAGTCTCACATGCATCATTTTGATAGCTAAATCATTTATAGGTTTAGAGCCAAAAGGGACCTTAGAGATTATTGTAGTCTAACACTCATCATACAGATAAGGAAACTGAGGACAAGAGAAGTTAAGTGACTTTCCCAAGGTCATATAGGCAATAAATGGCAGCTCTGGGATTTGAACAAAGGTCCTCTGGCTAAAAATTCAGAAATCTGAATTCCATTGTACCATGCTGTGCCCCATATGTGGGACACCTAGATGGTACTGCAGTGGATAAAGAGACTCCTCTTCCTGAGTTCAAATCTGGCCTCAGATGCTTACTAGCTGTGTGACCCCAGGAAAGTCACTTCACCCCATTTGCCTCAGTTTCCTGATTTGTAAAATGAGCTGGAAAAGGTAATGGCAAATTGCTCCAGTATTTCTACCAAGAAAACTCCACATGGGGTCACAGAGAGTCAGACACAACTGAAACACCTGAACAATAACAACACTGTTCCACATCTATAGTTTCACGGGGAAAAAATACCAGTGTCCAAGTCAGAAAGCTTCCTGAGGAAGGTGACCAGAACAGCGACGAACTTTCCTAAGCTCTTTTGGCAGTATTATTTTCAGAAACTCTGAATTAAGACCAAACGAATCACATGGTCTGATCCCTATGTACATCAGCTGGCACCCATACTGTACCTTTGTTGTTGAGTCATTTCATTCACGTCTGACTCTCTGTGACTCCGTTTGGGATTTTCTTGGCAAAGATACTGGGGTGGTTTGCCATTTCCTTCTCCAGCTCATTTTACAGATGAAGAAATTGAGGCAAATAGGGTTAAGTGACGACCAAGATCACATAGCTAGTACGTGTCTGAGGCCACATTTGAGCTCAGGTCCTCCTGACCCCAGGGCCAGCACTCTATCCATTGCAGTGCCCCCAGCTGCCCTATGTTGTGCTTTAGGATTTATAAATGTACTTTATATAAATGATTGCTAAACCAAGGAATTGGGCTTCATGGCCTCTGAGGCCCCTTCCAACTCTAAACCTATGACCCTATCATCTCTTCCTACCTTCACACAACCCCAGGAGATATTTTCCAGAAATTTTCCTCCCCAATTTACAGATGAGGCTACTGAGGCTTAGAAAGGTGAAATCACTTCTACATGGTCACACAAGAAGTATTAAGAGGAAGGATGTAGACTCATCTCTCCTGACCTCACAAAAATTCAATCATCTTTCCAGGCTGCTTCTAAAATGCATTCCCAGGGGACAGGAACACTATAGCCAATATTTATTGCATACCATCATGGTTCAAGGGAGGTCACTAGGGAAATGTTTTCACTACCAATCTGAGCTGGCTCATGAACTGCAGGATTTAATACTTAAT